GTGTAAGGCTAATTAAGGTAACCAGCGAATTCCAAAGAATAGAGGATGATATATAGATAAATTGATAGACAGATAGATAGATAGATAGATAGATAGATATAAAGATAAATGAATGAAAATAGAGAGAGAGAGAGAGAGAGAGAGAGAGAGAGAGAGAAAAAGATTTCCTGAAACTATATTTGTTTTACCGCATAAAAAGAAAAAAGAAAAGGAATAAGTAATTAGCTTCTGAAAATTTACCTGCGACTGATATCCGTGCATGGGATCGTGTTGTTGATGATGCTGTTGTTGCTGAGGCTGAGGCTGCTGTTGTTGTTGCTGAGGCGGCGGCTGATGTTGTTGATGTGGATGCGGATGGATCGGTGGAATGTCGAATACCTCATCCCCGAAACTCGGCGTGTGAAATGTCTGTCGGACATAATTTTGCACGATTTATATTATATAACGTAACATAATAACTTAAGTCTACATCTATGAGATATTATAGTTAGAAAAAAAAAAAGAAAAAAAAAAGAAAAAAAAAAAAACAAAAACAAGGGATAATGATTCTAGAAAAAATTCGTTTTCAGTGCTCGTTGATGGATTCATACAATTGCAGATTCTTATCCCCCTTTGTTTCTGGTTTAGGAAGGGTAAAAAAAAAAAAAAAAAAAAAAGAAGGAAAAGAACGAAGAGAAAAGAAAAAGAAAAATGAAAGAGAGTAAAAAAAAAAAGGAAAAGAGATTGGGGGAAGATAGAGGAAAATGAGAAGAAACGAGGGGAAAGAGTAGGAAAAAAACACAGAGAGAGAGAGAGAGAGAGAGAGAGAGAGAGAGAGAGAGAGAGAGAGAGAGAGAGAGAGAGAGAGAGAGAGAGAGAGAGAGAGAAAGACATATATAGGAAACAAAAAAGAGAGACAAAATGAGAGACAAAATGAGAAAGAAAAAAAGAGAAAAAAAGAGGAAAAAAGAGAAAAAAAAAAGAGAGAGAGAGAGAGAAAGAGAAAGAAAGAAAGAAGAATGCGAAAGCAGAATCAAAGAATCTACCCCTCTCTACTTCTGGCTCTGTTTCGTCCCCTCTCCCCCGTCCAACCCTCCTCACTCTCTCTCTCACAGACTATCTCTCTCTCTCTCTCTCGGCTTGGATGATAGATAGCGTTATATTGTTCGAAATCCTTTTAGCAATTTATTCCCTTTCACAAAGGGGAGCGAAGGAAAATAAATTTGCCGTCGGAGAGAGAGAGGAGGTGGAGGAACGAAGTGAGGTGGAAGAAGAGGAGGAAGAGGAAGAGGAAAAAAAAGAGGAAGAGACGGAGGTGGAGGAAAGAAGGGGAGGGAATAAAAGTTTTTAAATTGGATTTAATAGCGTGAGGAATTTTCCTTTGAAGGAAGCTGCCTCTGCCTATCGATCGAACGCGAAAGCCGTGTTGCTGCTCAACGCAACCCCTCAGCACTCCCCCCCCGTCTCTTCTATTCCTCTCTCTCTCTCTCTCCCTCTTTTTTTCTCTCTCTCTCTTTCTCTCTCTAGTTTCTTTACTACTACTACTATGACCACGAATACTACTAATATCACCACGAACATCAACATCGCTACAACTACCACTACCACTATCTCCTCCACCCTCACCCTTACCCTCTCTCTCAGTCTCTCTCTTGCTCTCATCGATCTATCTCGATTTCTCTCTCTCTCTCTTCCTCTCTCTTTCTTTCTTTCTTTCTTTCTTTCTATCAGTCTAACAATTCTCGGTCTCTTGCATTCGTACACAGTATTCCCTGTCAATTTATCTTTATGGGATGTACCGAATGTCTACGAAGAAAGTTAATGTCGCTGTTAAGCGTCGACGTACCGACACGCGACGAGCAAAAGAATAGAAAAAAGGAAAAAAAAAAGAGTATAAAAGAGACAGAGAAAGAGAGAAATAAAGAGAAAGTGAGAGAGAGAGAGATAGGAGAAGAAGAAAATCGTCTTTAGAGAATGCTCTTCGAGAGAGACGTTTTATTAAGGAGAAAAATAACAAATAAGATTATTTTCTTTACTCGAGTTTAATTTAAAATGAGATACTATAATAATAATGATAATGATAATAATAATAATAATAATAATTAATAATAGTTATTATAAATAAATATAATTAATAATAATAATTATTATTATTATTATCATTATTATGACAAAGATATATGTGAGCGGGATAGGTTTCGTTTGGCTTTGAAAAAGGAGAGAGAGAGAGAGAGAGAGAGAGAGAGAGAGAAAAAAAATAAAAAAAGAAAAAAAAACGAGAAAAAGGAAAGAAAAAGTTAGATTTCATGATTTATCTCGTTTCATCGGGCTACGTATGCGTTATTAACGCTGAATAATGGATCTTTTATTGGCCTACTTTCGAGTCCCTATCATCGTCCGAAGCAACGTTCTCGTCATCGGTTACAACTTACGTCATCACCTATCGAATCTTCTTTTATATATATATATATATATATATATATATATATATATATATATATATATATATATATATACATGTGTGTGTAATATATAGATATATGTGTTGTATGTGTATAGATATATCTCGTTTTATCCTTCTCGTTCGAACATTCGAACAAGACAGTGATAAAGTTATAGGTGTTGTAATAAAATAACAGTGATTTTCTTTTCTCCACTTTTTTTTCTTTCTTTCTTTCTTTCTTTCTTTCTTTCTTTAATTTTTTTTTTACTTTTCTTTCTTTCTTTGATATTTATTTTCGTTAAAATAAGCAAGGAAACGACTGTATTTGTACGGATAGAAACGAATACGTTTGCTCGAATCGAGTCGAAAGAAAATGAGAACGAAACGTGAAAAGAGAAATAGAGATAGGGGAAGAGTGAGAGATAGAGAAAAAGAGAAAAAGAGAAAGAGAAAGAGAAAGAGAGTGAGAGAGAGAGAGAGAACGAATATGAAAAAAAAATAAATAAAAAAGAAATGGGGGCTGGGGGGTAGAAGGAAAAAGAAGAGGGCGGAGAAACGAGAATTGTAGCCGCCTCCATTTTCATTTTAATGGAATTTTCCGGACTTTCAAGGATGTTTCAATGAAAGAAAGTACGCTTTGTATCTTTCTCTCCCTCTTTCCCACCTCCATCTTTCTCTCTCTCTCTCTTTCTCTTTCTCTTTCTCTTCTCTATGTCTCTCTCTCTCTCTCTCTCTCTCTCTTTCTCTTTCTCTTCTGTATGTCTCTCTCTCTCTCTCTTTCTCTCTTTCTTTTACTCATAATCCGACACCGCTTTGTCGCGAATTATATTAACATTTGTCGATTATATATATATTTTAAAATCATTCCTCTATTTCTTCTTTTTCTTCTTCCTTTTTTTTTGCTTTTTTTTTTTTCCTTCGAAATACCGATTTCGTTGAAATTATCTCGCAATGATTCATTTTCTGAGAAATATGTATGTATCTATTTCGTAGATTAAAAAAAGAAAAAAATAAATAAATAAATAGGTGAAACTATGGAAGAATACACATGAGAGAGAAAGAGAGAGAGAGAGAGAGAGAGAGAAAGAGAGAGAGAGAGAGAGAGAGAGAGAGAGAGAGAGAACGGAAATGACTCATAAATATAATTGGCAGCGTTTATTACACCGTAAAGGCTTCACATACATATATACACATACATATAACGTATACATTTATATATGTATATGTGTGTGTATAATATATATATATATATATACATATATATTTATATGTAAAGGAGTCACGACGTAAGAATCTCGAACACACGTGCTAATGATCGAAGGTCGTTTCCCCCCCTTTTTTGATCGAGATAACTCCTTGAAAAAGGTAATAAAGTATAAATAAATGTTTACATATTCAGAAACACAGAAATATACGGACAGATATATAGCCTGGTATAATCATACTGACTAAAAAGTTGCATAACTCTCGTTTTCACTAAAAGCATCAAAAAAAAAAAAAAAAAAAAAAAAAAAAAAAAAAAGAAGAAAAACAAAAAAAAAGAAAAAGTAAAAGAGAAGAAAAAAGATAGGAAGAAAGAAAAGAAACTAGTTATCTTACTAAACGAAACGTCGCTGACGAAAAAACACTTTAACGTATAAATGTTACGTGTGTATATATATATATATATATATATATATATATATATATATATAAATGTGTATATGTTCATACGCGTTTAAAGTCGAGACAAAAGTGCGGAGGACTCGGAAAAATTTCGTAACGATCGCGTGAGTCGCACATCCGTGTTATTATTCTTGGCACGTAAATGCCCGAACTAAAAGATATTATCTAAGTGAGTGGTAGTGGTATTCATATTATAAAATATTATATATATATATATATATATATATATATATATATATATATATATATACGCATACAGACATCATCGTGTGTTACCAACGTACACGTCCTTTTCGATGAAATACAGGACCAAACGAACGCGCATATATATATATATACGCATATGTATATATATATATATATATATATATATATATATACACATCACACACACTCACGTATACTCATATAACGTATTTATTAATCTTAATTCTTTTCTTCTTCTTTTTTTTTTCCCCCTTTCTTTTTCCTACAGTTAACTCGCGTTTATCGTACAATTTATCTTCCACTAATATTACACCAGTCGACTGACTTGCTTGGCTCGTTCGCTCGCTCGCTCGTCCAACGTATTATAATCTTTCTATCTTACCTACGTACACACACTGGCATTTTATTATTTCTCTCTCTCTCTCTCTATTTAAACAAAATTAAAAAAAAAAAAAATAGATAAATGAAAAATAAAAAATAAATAAAATCGAATAAAATGAAAAAACGAATGAAAAATAAAAATAATTGAAAAAGTTTTGATAAACGTGCTGTGTGTCTCTCTCTCTCTCTCTCTCTCTCTCTCTGTGTGTGTGTGTGTGTATGTTGTATTTCAGCAAAAAATCAAATAAAAAATCAAATGAAAGATCAAATAGAATAAGAAATAAATCAATAAATGAAACTAAACAAAAAATGAATAAATCTAAAAAAAAAAAAAAAAGAGCAAAAAAGAAGAGGAAGAAGAAGAAGAAAAAAAAACAAAGATATTAAAAATAAAAAAAGAAAGAAAAGGAAACAGAAAAATAAAATAAAAAAGGAAAAGAAAAATAAATGCAGGAAATCGATCGTTAAGATGAGAAGAATGAATGGAGGATCAAATTGAATACCTCCGAGCGATATAAGAGAGAAAGAAAGAGAGAGAGAAAAAGAGAGAGAGAGAAAAAGAAAGAGAGAAAGAGAGAGGGGGAGAGAGAGAAAGAAAAACAGGGAAACGTTGATGAGAGAGAGAGAGAGAGAGAGAGAGAGAGAGATATTTTTATTTCATCGAAAGAAAAAGCAAGCAAGCACGCCCTCGCGTTTGCTCCGAACAACCAACGAGTTCACCAGTTCACCTCTA